TCTTCACCGTCCATACACGATCTTGATGATGGAAACCCTCGCAAAGATAGATTATGTACTTTGTCATCTTGGACCAAAGAAGACATGGCAAAGGGTGTAGAGGAGAAGGCAATACTGCTGGAGGTTTTTATGTATGTTTCCAGGATTGATATACGACATCTCCTCATTACCCTCGCCCCTCTAGGTTTTCGCCGCTAATGCAACAAACCATCTCAGAATTATCAGATCAAGATTTGTTCGACCCAAAAAATACCCAAAATCACTTTCCCAAGGTTCATGTATCTCATATCTTAGGAACCAGAACAATTTGGTAATGTGTCTGGGCAGGCGTGGAATTGAAAAAGAGGTATGATTTTCAACCCACAGAGGGCCGCCGTAAGATGCAAATTTTCTGCATAGACGGGTTTAACCACTTTGTGAGTGTTCTTTTTTTTGAATCGACTTTCTGAACAATTGACCCAAGTATCATCATATTTGATAACATTTAGGCACATTGGGACGAGCCTCAGAGGTTTATGCAAGTTGTCGCTGAGAGCATTCATTAGTTGTGGATATTTATGGAAATGGGCAATTCCTGAATTAAATTACTTTTATCCTCGCGGTCCTTCACCAACTTCGCTGCTGGCCCGCCAGAGACACAGGTTCGACTATCGTTGGAATACCTATTCAGTCAGCCGATCCAAGTCTCTTCTCCAATATAAGCAATCTATCGCCGAAAAACAATGACTATCCTACCAAAGCAATTAATTTATACACACTATACACACTATACACACTAGACATAAGTACTCAAAGTTACAGTACACTATCACTATTCATTGAAGCAGCATTCAATCGAGCTGCAAAACTCCATGTGAGGCAAGAACTTGGCTTCAAGCTTCAAGCCCCAGTACTAGTCAATCAATCAATCAGTCGGACAGAAAGAATGGAACACTTGTCCGTAACGTCTGTATCCAATGGGGGTCCAGCATCTACATTTGCTCTGAATCTGAACTCTATATCCACACGTCTCCCCCCCAACCACACTCGCCTCCTAACTCGCACTCACGTCTGCGCCTGCACACCCAAACGTCAACCTTCAATCCCCAATCCCTAGTACGCTCCATTCAACCTCGACTCGTTATACGAACTCGACATCGGTCCAAACCCAGCCACCCCCATCGGCGACCCATAACTCATATGCTGCGCATTCAAGTTCATACTCGCACTCGAATTCGAATGTGTCCTTCCAAAGGGTACCGCACCTGCGCCCGCAGCTGCAGCTACACCGGCGAAACTACTCGGTGGAGGCGGTTGGGACTGATATGGTGTTGGATGTTGATAGGGTGGATAAACGACGGGGTAGTTCGCGTTGGAGTTCACATTTGTGATCAAATTTGTATTCGCGAATGGGTTTGGGTTCGCATACTGCACTTGCGCTTGGGCTGCCCTGGCTTCCTTGGCTTCCTTTGTATGCGCGAGACGAACATACGCGAATCGTTGGAAATGGTTTAGGGATTGGAGATACAGGACACCAACCTACGTCAAGAATTTGGCTTATCAGTATTGGCCCGATACAAAAAAAAGGGGAGAAAAGAAAGAGAACCAAAGACTTACAGGAAACGCCCTCAACCTATTAAACAAATCCACCGTTGCATCTCTTACACTCTCCCTCTGATGGAACAGGCCAAAAGCCAGGGGAAGAAGACCACCGGAATGTGGTGTGAAGTACGACAGAAGCTGCAGAACACATCGCGTCAGCTCACCCAACCAAAAAAAAAAATGACCACAACACCCACCTCAACAACCTGCTCATACCCCTTGATTCCATCCGCCAACGTCCTAAAAATCGCATACGCCTCCGCATCCCCCATCTTCCTCGCCCCACTTGCATGCTTCAACCTCAACACCTGATGAAACACATCCACACCCCCACCTATCGCCCCGTTCACCAAATACTGCTTAAAATCCTCAACGTAGTACCGATAGTTCGTCGTCCCTCGCCACCCTTCGATTCTGTGGGCGTTGGCGACGAGTTCCTTGAGGCCAAGGGATTCGTCGTTGAAGACGAGACCGGAACCGAGGGTACCGAGGTGACTGAGCCCGAGATTGGACGAGGGGGCAGGATCTTTGTATGGGGAGGAGGGGTAGCCGATTTTGGTTTTGGAGTTGGATAGAAGGGAGGAGAGAGGGTCGGATGGGTTGGTTGTTGCGGGTGTCGAATTGGTCTCCTCTTCGTACCGCGAAGCCAATCGTACAAAGCGCATTACGTACTCCATAAACCGAACTCGTACCATCGATTCGCCGTAGTGATACTCGATCGCAGTTTTAATCTATAGCAAAAACCCGTCAGCGTCAGCAAAACCAAACAACTGTGTACACAAAACCCACATCCTCAATAAACACATTGTCTGCATTATTCACCGAATCCGACGGCGCATACTTGACATCTCCCTTGGGCTGCCCCGTATCTTTCTGCGCCTCGTCCCCCAGCGACACCTCAGCCTTCAGCGTCCCCGTCCTCAATAACAGCGGCGCAATCAACGACCCAGACCCTCCGATCCCACCCGAAGAGTTACTGATCCCCACACCCGGACCCACAGGCCATTTTTGCCAGATATCCTTGGAAACGGTAACGGTCCCCGTGGAAATGTCGCATAGCAGATCCCATGAACGAGAGGCTTCAAAGATGGGATTAGTTACACCTGCGATATACGCTGGGCTGTCAACAGTCGAGGGAGAAATTTCAATGAGAATACGAAGGGAAGAAAGCTCGAACGATCGCCCACTTACACCGATTCCCACTCGTCCCGATTATTCAAATTGGCATACGGAAAGGCCCTCTCCACGAACCCACGTAGAACCGCCCCGCATCCACTCCCCAATGCACAGGCGGCGAGAACAAACAGGGAGACTTCACCCGCGGGGCGTCTGTGTCCGAGGAAGATGATATTTTTACCCGTTACCAGGGCATTGAATAGGATAATGATGGGGTGTGTTGATGAGCCTGAAGTGTGCAGGTGTGGGTGGGTGGGTGATGGGTGATTCGAAGAGTACGAGGTAGTTGTTGAGCTTGAGACGGAGGACGAGGGTTGAGAAAATGTTCGGATGAGAGTTATTAGTGAGTACTGTGTGATACGGGAAGAAGTGGTTAGACGGGTGAACGTTTATAGAGAACAAAAGATGACATCGACTGACATCTCCAACTTCCTCGCTAAACGTTGACAACGGCATCTTTATCGGTAGCTTGTGACCATTATATTCGACCGTAGTATTGAAAAAGTGTGTATCCTGCACCATCGCGCTCCCGGGTCCGATATAAGACGAGGCTCTTCCTCCGACTTTGGTACTCTGAGTGCTGATGTTCGAATCATATGAGCTATAAGACGATCCAGCTCTTGCCATGGGTACCCGAGGTAGATTCAAATGTGACGAGGAAGACGAGGACGAAGCGTCAGTTGAGCTTCGGGCTCTGTTCGAGCCGACAATGGTAGAAGTTCCATCGGTGGTGTAATCGCTATCTCCAGCGACAGACCCATCGAGGGTGCTGTCGTCCCCAACCCAGACTGCACTTCCAAATGATACGTCGCCTGGTCCATTGTTGTGAGTCGCGTCGATATCAGGAGTTGGTGTAGGATTTGAAGGGCGGCGTTCCGGAATACTGCCATCAGAATCGGTGCTTCTGTGGGTTTGTCCAGTGTGCGCGAGATATTTATGTTTTTCAGCAAAGATATCCTTTCGTTCGCTCATCCGCATCACGAGCTTCTCGTCCCGAGACAGTACCGGGGCAGCAGATAGATCCATAGCGTTGACGGAGTCGAATAAACGAGCTAAAACGTCTTGAGATGGATTTAAGAGGTAGTCGTCGAGAGCCATTAGGAGAACTGGCTGTAGAGGTCATTAGTTGGCTAACTTTGAAGAGCCAGTCTGAGTAACCTTGAATATCTGTATAAACGGATGCCTGGTACATATTGCCAGCGCCAGAACCCTTGCTCCTCGATCCAACGACTTGTCGTGCTTCGTCCTAACCAAGTTCAGTACACACAACAATTCCTTTTTCTTCTTCTTCTCGCCGTCTTCCTCCCCTTCATCTGTGTACGAATCCGACTCCAGAGCCAATACAGGCTCTATAGTATTAAATTCCGTTTGGTTGAGAAAGAATATTGTCCAATCGTCCAACTGGGCCTCTGCTCCGTCGGGAAGCATGGACATTGCTAACACTCTGTGGCAACCGATAATGAGAAGAGCGTCATATTCTAGCGACTTTTCACGTACGATTCATCCACCCCACATGGCTGAGGAAACTGATATTTGAGCTGAGCTCCCTCGATAATGTCGAATTCGGCGAGGAGAACGAACGAGCAGTGATTCCCGGTCCCTGCACTCCCCATCGTGGTTTCCAATGAGCTGAGCATTTTGCTAAGGGAAAGCAGTTAGCCTTCAATGCTTGACCGCCGTTCTGGGTAGAGTCGAGGGAAGGGACTATGAGAAGAGGAAGCGGAGGTGGAAAATAGTTAGGCGCTCAATGATAAGATAACACAAGCAACCACAAGAGATAAGATAATCTATTCCCTATTGGTTAGTACACGCTATGTCACCGAAAGTTCAAAGCTGGTTCAATTCAGTCAGGAAGTGGGTCTTCGTGAATATGTCTTGTCTCAATGAATCAAACTAGTATTTTGATTCACTAATCTGGATACTGTATACAACCCAGAAACACTTGGAGCGAACTTTTCAACCAAGCCAGTTGAATGCAATCACTCTATATGATGATATGTACCTCAGGGCTTCGAGGATCTACAGGATCGTCTCACAAGATTGAGTCAAGACAAAGACTAGATCGGATAGAGAACGAGGATTCTGCAGGAACTCAAAACACCAGCCTCAATAAGGAGAAAGAACAAGAGCTGACACTTACTACACGCGTCACTCACTTGCACCTAGGTCTGAAAGTGATCGAGTGGGTAGACCAGGTTTCGACAAAGGTCGTATAAGACACACGGTGAACCGGAAGACTTATATCCCTGGTAGTATATCGGTTAGTACACGCGCCTGTCATTCATTGTAAAAAACGATAGCTCCGCGCGAAAGCTGGGTTCGACTCCCAGCCAGGGAGTCAAGAAGTGGATTTTTTATAACCTTAATTTTCCTGGCTCTGAACGTCCCCCAATGATCATGAATATTCAGAATAACCTTTTTTACGTATCCCCTACGAGACCCTTTACTCAATCCTCTCGCCTTCTATGATCTAAATCCAAACCCGGTCACTAGCAACTGTCCATCGACACCACCAGACTACTTTATCATTCAACTCTCCCGGGCCCGGGGATCACGCTGCTTCCCAGACAGGATCATTCGATACCCCAATGACATGCCACCTTCTAGACTCCCGCACACCATTATCATCATGACAAGCTCACCATTCGCTGGGCTTACTTTATTCCTTACCTCGGAGTAGCCCCTGACTCTACATATCGGCGAATTAACACACACGATTCCGTGCTTGTAGCAGGTCCTTGTTCCCGTGTATTGCTATGCCCGTTTCCTAACAATTAAGGGCAATTTAAAGCATTTTTTAAACTATCTCTTTGGACATGATTTCGAATCCAGAAGCACACTCAAATTCTCAGTTATCGGTATCAAGTCCAGCCACTCAGGAAGAGGGGGAATTGACGTAATGCAACCATTACACCACGCTACCCCCCAATCCAGAGTAATTTTTTACAATTCAGTGCAGGACTTCCGTCCTCAAGGGACTTCGGTGTATCGTCGAGCCGCGCAGTCGACAGTGAGCTTATATGACAGGTTGTACTTGGAGTTACAAGATTGAACTGAAATGTCAACCTATGGAGACGAAAATTGTTGCGATCAACGGTCAGACAGCTATACGAGGCATCTTCAGAAAGTAGCCTAATACTGCAGCGAAGCAGCTAGGAAAAAAAGTCGCGTCACAAACCGAGCCTCATTCGGAAACCCGGTGCATTTCAAATTTACTGAAAATAGAGCAGTAGTGTCTACGCTGCTGGATATACAGTTAATGTGTCGATCAGACCGGGTTTGAGAATGTAGAGTAATTATTCTGTTAGTAGTTCGCTGCGGAGCACCGTAGGTACTTCGAACCTGTTCGACAATTCTAGAGGATAGGCTATCCCCCCAAACCGATTGAACGGAAGTACCAGCACGGCCGTCCGCTGAATTCTATAGTATGAACTTCAAATAAAATATAAAAAGTAGGCCGCTAGGTTCCTCTGACTGATTCCACCTCTACTATTTACTAAAAAAGAACCAACAATGATTCCATTCAACTGGACTATATTACAACCGCTATTGCTCATGTTGATTGTAGGTACAATATCTGGCTGCTACCAGAACACTCATTGACAACTTTTCGTTTGACTAGTTTAATATAATGCTCTATGGTAAATCTTCAAGCTGTTAATCAAAAGATAATAGTAACCGTTCATGAAACTGATTAATCAAAAATATTTAGGAGTGTATATAACCACCTTTGGCCTATATATCTACCTTCAGTTTCAACAGCGAGGACGGCATCATTTCTATCAAGTCTCGATCTTTCTCCTCTTCCTCTTGGGTACCACTGCTGTAATTTTGGCAATCATACTGTTTGTGGAATCATGTATCAATCTATTGGGAAGGCCCTCCCTCCTTATCTCCCCATTTACCTTCAGAGTTAGGTACGCACTTTGAGTCTCCCTTCTTGTTGTTTGCTACAGTTTTACCATGATTTAGTCTTGCATTAAGGGGTGTATATGCAGCCGCGAAGTGAGTAGCTAGGTCCCCATTATAAACAATGCTATAGTTTCCATAGTTTGATTGCAGATACTTTACTGGTCAGTTCGAACGAAGTGCTAACATTGGCTTTGCACGCAGCACCTTTACTGATGGTAGTAACTCTTTTGTTTAACTTGTGACTCAGCTGTACCGCTGTTATATCATATGGGCTTCAAGAAAGTTGGTCATCATTGGTCCCGCCATAATGTCCACTATAAACACTGGTAAGTTACGCCAGTAACCGCTTCAATGAAGGAAAAAAAACATGACTCGGATTCCTATTATAACGGGAATGGCCATTGCGTCCGTTATGTTTGAAGGAAGATCATTTTATAATGATAATTACTACTCAGCGGCAGCACTGGAAAGAGTGGATGATGCACTCCAAGTAGAAGCAGTTCTATTTGATGTATTTCTGGGAGTGAATCTCCTCACAAACCTCTTCCTTACAGGACTCATAGGCAAGCCTAAGTATTACACAGATAAATTCTCTTGCTAATTTTGAATACCTAGCTAGAAGGCTTTGGTGGCTGTTACACATTACTCAAAAATATCTGGCGTATGATTCACCTAATAGCAACAGGATGAAAAATACACTTGCAATGGTGTACGTTATAACTTTTGTCATAGTAGCTGATTCTTTACAGCCAAATTTTTTTAGAGTTGAGTCGGGTCTGTTGTATCCTCTAGCATTGATCACCAGCATCATTATCACTGCAATTGTCGGTGAATTTGATGGTTACGTTCGTGTACCTTCAGTGGAACCGGTACTGACGGTCATCTCGGTGCACAAATTTCAATATAGTACGAGAATGATGTTACATCTAACTCATTAGCCTCAGGGACTTGCTGCCACAATGATAGTGGTTAGGGTTGATTTAGGGATCAGTGTCGAGGCCACTTCCAATATCAAATCCAATATTCAAATTTCGACTCTTGAAACACAGTCATTGGCATTAGAGGAAGCCTATCCCCAAAATTCGGAGATCCCCCGGCCTTTATCGCTCTCTGAGCAACATACAGATCATGACCAAAGAGAACTCACGGCATTCACTTCCTTTGGACAGAATCACTTAGCTCGGAAGTATCACACTGCTGATGGGACATAAGCACCCGGCGACAAGGGGATTTAGAAAATTTTAATGCCAACTTAATTCCGAATATGTATTTCAGCTTTTAGTTATTGTTGATGTCAGTATGTAGACGCATACACTATGGCTGTAGAAGTTCAATGGTAAGCGGTATCTCGATGCTCTGCTTGCGCCTATTGAACTCTAAAACACTTTGATGTTTATATCTCGAAGTCTGTTGCATCACAGAAGCGAGCTCAAATTTCAGTAGTGTAACAACTATACTTAGATCCCGGGCGGCTCTTACGTAGCCCACATGATTCTTTTTGCAGCTTGCCATTGTTTGCCTACCTCAATAGATGGGGTCGTGCCAGTGCAACTGATCTAGAAGGCTCTTGGCTAGTGTCTGGCCATTGTAATTCAGCACTATCTAGTATCCACATTGTTGGATGTGGCTTGACCTGGCACCCTCAAGACCTTAGCCTTTAATATAGGCTGTTTACATCGCCTTTTGAGCAGTATTGCTCACTGATATGAATTGAAAGAGCTTTCAGAAACCAAAAATCAAATGCTCATCATCATAGGTAATAATATATGAGGGCCGGATGACTCGCGGCGTCGCCGGCATAACAAAGTGCGCGGGGCATAACTAAGCCTCTAGGGTATTAAGTACAACATGGCAAGAAAAAATGAATATCAGAAAATACCGACATGAAGCCAAGCTGGTAAAAAACATGTAAAAGTACTTATATAAATATTCAATTGCCACATAACAGCTGCTGGAGCCTTCCACTATCTCTCGTGAGCATTCATTCTGAGGGAGCTCTTCCAGAATCTGAGTGGACAATCATATTTGTAATATAGCCTTCCCTGTGGGAGCCTTCCCTGTGAGAGCCTTCCCTGTGAGAGCCTTCCCCGTGAGAGCCTTCCATAGTCTGGATAATATGTAAAGTCTCGAGTACTGGAGAGCTATTTATGTTGACCAAAATGACTACAGCAATAGGATACCATCCCTACCAAGTTTATAATTCAGAATCAGCTAAGCTTGAAAAAGGAATCAAGACTCACAGAAGCAAGAACAAAAATGGCACCAAAGATGGCATAGGCTTCCTGAAACCCAACAGAACGTGTAGGTCCATATATATTAAGAAGGATAAAGACAGCATAGAGGGTCTGTATTGCGCAATATATAGCACCGGATTCAATCAACAGAAGTAGGATACTCTCGACCCTGGTTCTTCTGCGGCGAGCAGCTTCTTTCATAATGTGATGGTAATTCCTGCAAAAATTGTAAGGGCTTAACAACTGAAAGAAAGAGCTTGAAGGCACTTACCATGCTTTCCATGCAATGAGGCCTGTTGCAAACATGTTAACCACCGAGGAAATCACAAGCGACAACCAGTCTAAGACTGAATCTGAGTTGGACAGTGTCGCCGAAATGATGTCATGTAGGATGCAATCTGTAACATTAACTCCTAAATGGCAGAATTCAGCGAACTTATCATATGTTGGTGGGTCAATTTACCAATATTGATACCCATGAGAAGCACAAGTGCAACCTTCCAGAGTCTCTCCGGCTGAAACAAAACCCAAGCTCTCCAAATGACAATAAGATCACTCAAGATCCCCTGGATAACATGATTAGATGTTGAATGGGAGATGAGCAGGGTAAACTCACAGAAAGTGTTAGAGCCCAGCTGTCCATATTATTTAGAGGCAATGCTTTTTTGTTTGCTCTCAGACCTTGAGTCTCAAGTCCTTCCTGTACCCCAGCTTTTATTCCAATAAAATTAAGCTGCTCTTGTATGAGTATGAATGCTTCACTGGTAGTTATACTCCAAGTCAAGACAATGAATTCCACAATCAGATAGGCAAGAAGAGTGATTTGTGGACGGGTCCGGGATTTGGTTCTGTCAAGGTTTTGCAAATATTAATTGGAAAATACCAGAAGTCATGCCTGACATTCCGTACAATAGGATGTAGATGGCAATGAGCATTCCTAAAACAGATACACCTGGATAAAATTCATAAATAACTGCTTCCAAGTTCCAGGGTGGAGAACCTTGAACAATATCAGGCAATACATACCATAGCCAGTTATCAACACCACTACCTCAGACATCGTGTTGATGTAGACAGAAGTTGCATAGGAGGAAATGAGCTTATGGTCCTCTGGACTCATCATGAGTAGTGCGAAAAACACTTGGTCTGGTCACTGTAGACAGTACTACATTTATATCACGGCTCCAAAAAC